CCCTACCTACCTAGCCAGGTTTGGATACCCGCCCTTCAACCCCACTCCTCCCTTCTTTCACCATACCCCCCCCCTTCCGTTCAGTGTTGTTGCCATATCACGTATACCATCTGGTGGTACAGGTCAACCAAAGATATTCTTATTATAATATCTTCAAGAAACGGAGTTGAAGAATTAGAGGAGCTACACTGTAGGAACTAGAGGTACTAGAGGAGATACACTATAGGAACTAGAGGTACTAGAGGAGATACACTGTAGGAACTAGAGGTACTAGAGGAGATACACTGTAGGAACTAGAGGTACTTGAGGAGATACATTGTTGGAGCTAAAGGTACTAGAGGAGCTACACTGTAGGAGCTAGAGGTACTAGAGGAGCTACACTGTAAGAACTAGAGGTACTAGAGGAGCTACACTGTAGGAGCTAGAGGTACTAGAGGAGCTACACTGTAGGAGCTAGAGGTACTAGAGGAGCTACACTGCAGGAACTAGAGGTACTAGTGGAGTTACACTGCAGGAACTAGAGGTACTATGGGAGCTACACTGCATGAACTAGAGGTGATATGGGAGCTACACTGCAGAAACTAGAGGTACTACAGAAACTACACTGCAGGAACTAGTGGTACTAGAGGAGCTACAATGGCGGAACTTGAGGTACTAGGGAAGCTACACTGGAGGAGCTAGAGGTACTAGGGAAGCTACACTGGAGGAACTAGAGGTACTAAGGGAGCTACACGCAGGAACTAGAGGTGCTTGAGGAACTACACTGGAGGAACTAGAGGTACTAGAGAAACTACACTGCAGGAACTAGAGGTACTAGAGAAACTACACTGCAGGAACTAGTGATACTAGAGGAGCTACACTGCAGGAACTAATGGTACTAGAGGAGCTACACTTCAGGAATTAGAGGTAATAGAGGAGCTACACTGCAGGAATTAGAGGTACTAGAGGAACTACATTGCAGGAACTAGTGGTACTAGAGGAGCTACATATACTGCAGGAACTAGTGGTGATCGAGAAGATATAGTAAATACTATATTCTAAATACTTAAGCTAAAAGTGTTACACGAACTAGAGAAAGGAACTATTCCTACTTCTAAAGTAAAGTGTGAATCAAAGTTTAAGGATATGGTAGTGAACTTTTTTAACCTAATCCTGGTATACTTTTATCTACTAGTCCTAAACCAAATCCTTTACAGCATATGTTATATATAGGTGTTAGGTACTTTCCCAAAGGCATTTTCCCAAGGGCAGCTTCCCAAGTGGCAACTTCCAAAATGAACATTTTCCTAAGTGACAATTTCCCTAGTGGCAACTTCCCCATGAAGGAAAAGCGGCAACTTCCCAAACTTCATAACGTGTAAACGTCAATTCTGATCACTGTCATCTCGACTGATTTATTATAGTTAGGGCGGAGTAAACTTGTGTCAAGGATGAATACTGATAGGTTTGGATGGGTCGAAGAGAGTTTCCTATAATTATCAATTTTCAGGTCTAAAAGAGTTAAATTTGGGTTGAAGCAAACGGGAGTTTAGGGATGGCGGCATATACATAAAATACTGGCTTATATTTAGTAGGAGAATGGAGGAACTGTAGTCTTTCGATTATGAGAATGGAGGAACTTGAGCATATTGAGTAGGAGAATGGAGGAACTGTAGTATATTGAGTAGGAGAATGGAAGAATGGGAGTATATTGAGTAGGAGAATGGAAGAACGGGAGTATATTGAGTAGGAGAATGGAAGATATGGGGTATATTGAGTACGTAGGGGAATGGAGGAACTAGAGTCTTTTGAGTAGGAGTATGGGGGAACGGCCGGGAGTATATTGAGTAGGAGTATGGGGGAACGGGAGTATATTGAGTAGGAGTATGGGGGAACTGGGGTAAG